AATGAGCTTTATTTTAGTGATTGTAAGGCGACTTTAGCACAGAGCTAGAGGCGTACAATCATCAGACTTATTCTGGAGAAGCTCTTCTTGGAACATGGCAGCTATTCTAGGAATACATTGGGGATTTAGCCTATTGCTGTCTCTAATATAGTATTTAGGATGTCAGTCATCTTATTCTTAACTCTTCCTCTTACACTTTGTAAAAATCCACTAGAAAAGTATAAAGAGAAAATCTCTGTGGACACTGTCCAACTGCTGTCTTTTCCTTAGCCCAAATATAGTATTTGTTAATTTGGAGATTTGAAAATTACCCTTAAGACTGACTTGAGTCAGTAGATTGTATGTCTTCCTACCTACACAAGGTTATTAGCTAATATTTTTAAGAAAAGAAAAATGAGAGAGAACATTATTTTTGTTATCAGGTTGTATTTTCCTATCACAAATATGTCCAAATCAATTGAATTATATCAGTTCTTATTGCACATAACTATCAAGACCTCTGACCCAGAAAGAGAAAACAATAACATTCTTCTGCTCCATTGTCATGTAAAAACTTAAGGATGAGTATTTACTTCAAAGTTGCAAAGCATTTGCGAACTCTGACTCTGGTCAAATGTTTATTTCTCATAAAATTCACTGATCTATGCTGATGCTAAGGCTTGAGTAACCCTCACTGTGGATATAACCCAAACCTTTGAACCTTAGCTCAGATATGAAATCCCTTCCTTATTCTTTCAGGGATTCTCTTTTATGTCAACTGGCTTGTTTTATTTCCTATGTGTGAGTCTGGAAACTATTCCTATGCAGATAGGAGAATATTCTGCCTAATCACCTATTTTGTCTACATCACCTGGCAGATTTCCACATATTTTCTGAATGAATGAAAATAACAGAATTGAGCATATCAAAGTACTAATTACTTACCTGAGACAGAGTCTATTATTTCATTGCTTTTAGCTGGAAGATTAAGATAAGGTGCAGGAAGACCCAGCTGTGTTTTCTTTAATTTCACCATTGTTACTTGAGCAATAGGTGGCAAAATTTTGAGTCTGGGGTAATAAAATGAGTTTGCTGGGTGACTTGGGGAGGAACAAGTGATCTGTGAAATAAAAAGGGGAACCTTAAAGAAACTATATCATATTAGTAAGAAAATAACTGTAAAATCATGTTTACACACCATGCTAATACTTTTTGGCAAGTAAAATCCATATAACCAGCTTCTATGAACCTCAGTTCACACAACTACTGCTGGTAATCCCAGAATTTTTATGCATAATGCTTTGAGACGGGGCACAATGAATTGTGCCAACCTTTGGATAAAGGACTGCAGTGGGAGGTACTGAAAACAGAGTAATGTATGGAACGGTCTGATGGGAAGAAGTGGGTGTTACTACAAGGGACAATACAAGAGTATTAAATAATATTGGGTATGCTATAGCAGCAGTCACACAAATACAGGAGGCCAAACATACTGTTTTCCAGCTTCTCTGTTCCTTTTCTCATTACTCATTAGCACAGCATTTGGCTCTGGAAAATCTGACGGTAAAGAAAGGACTGACTGAATGCTTATAGTATTCAAAACATTTGAATCAAATGCTCTGTTCCCCCAGCACCCTTAAATGACAAAAGCAAAGTATGAGGCATATAGAGTATTGAGTGAGCAAAAGATTGAAAGTGGGGTCACCACAGTAATGATGGAGAAGTTCTCCTCTGCTTTCCCTTAGCTCCTTTCCCTTAAACGCAGAAGTTTCAGGTTTCAGCAATGCTTTTAACTGAAAACTGCTCCCCACATCAGTATTCATGACTTAGGATTTTCCTGTTTAGATACGTGTTTAGATACGTATTTAGTAGTGCCATGACTTTTTTGAATATTTTTATTTTCCTGGTGTTTTAAGAATTGTTAAAAATAATCTAAAAATAGTCAGCTTTTACAGAAAATACTTCAAATGTAGACCCAAATTTTCATGAACCATCTGCATTTACTTAATAAACTTGAAAGATACAGATAATAAACAAAACCAGTAGGGTTATTAGCTATGTAATAAATCCATATATAGAGAGCATCAGCAGTCTCAAATAGTGAAATCAGTTTCACCAGAGTCTATCATGTAGTCATAGGATAGTTATCTTTTAAAGGGAGGACTCAAAACATACAGGTATGAAGTGCTAAATGATGTATATACACCTACCTCTGTAACTGTGTCCTGTGGAATGGTGGCAAAGTTTGGGGAGGAAAATGTGAAACCACTATCAGTTCCAGCATCATATGGAAATAGATCAACTGATACTTCTTCCATCCAGTGGTCTCCTTCACAGAGATTTAGGCTGTCAATACCCACAAACCAGTCGGGGCTTGGAACAATTCGTACCACAAATGAAACCTAATGAAACAAAATGATCCATCAGGATTGCATCACTTTGAAATGCTCCAGTCCTGCTCATAGTAATGTTAACTTAAATTTTTTGAAAGAAATGTCATTATGCTCTTCTACTTTATAGAACCTGTACGGTGCTCCCTGCAATGTGACATGCTTTTAGTAACTCTTTGCATTATATTGTTCCTACAAGTGAGAACTCAAATATTTAATTTTGTGTGCTAGTGACATAAAATAAACTTTTAAAATTAATATGTGCATTTACTTACTAAGGGATGTCTTGAATGAGCTTCTAATTCAGTGGAGGTTTGTCCTGTACCACTGGAAATGGCAGGAGCAGAGAAGATTCCATGTACACTCTGAATTTTCTCTCCAGCTTCTTCTATTTCTTTCATTAATACCCATGCTTCACCCTTTTCAGCAAAATCACGTACACCATTGCTGGCATATTCATTTTTTTTCCACATGCTGTAGTCAGAACTATGAGTAACACCTATTTGAGTGAATACATGGCATGACATAAAAGTCTGGTTTAGATTGTCCCTATTTCTTCAATTTCTCTGTTTTATATCTGAGGTTTAAAAAAATCTGTATAAAAATGAGTGAACACTAAAACATTTGGCTTATCAGTGTTTATTTCAGCTGCAGCCAATTGAAAACAGAAGTCAATTGAAAACAGTTGTAGATTTTTGAAAGCATTGTGGATACTTCCATTTCTGCATTTCATTCTTAATAACTTTGTCTATTTTTTCCTTTTTCTTTGGTTATCTTAAAATTGACTATTAAGAAGCAAAAAGATCACAGTGGTTAAGAGATTTACCTGTTCTTAAAACTGTACATACTTCACTTACCTAGCATTGATGACCACTGTGCTGGGGGCCTGTAAAGTGGATACTGCTTAGGGAAAGCAGTCTGACTCCATTTCCCTGTGAAGATTATGCTGTACTTAGCAAGTTCCTCTGCTGTGCAAATAGAGTCATCACCCACAGGCAAGCTGCTGGCATAACCTAGTATTGTTACAAGTAATGTCCAGATAACTTTACAGGAACAGTAGACAAACATCAGGTTTTCCATTCCCTTCCACACAAAAAGAAAAAAATATGTTAGCCATATTAGTCACTCTAAACTCAGAATTGAATAACAGTTACCTAATAAAATGTAACGTACCGTAAGTTATAATCAAAAAGAAAGCATACATCTGAAACACTAAAAATTGTTATGCTTCTAAAAACATTATTCTAATGCTTTCAGATTTGATATTTCCATGCTATATACTACAAATCTGTAACTCTACCTGGGACAAGTGTTTCTAATGAAAATAAAAATATCTTAACCTTGTCCATAGTACTACCTCTGAGAAAAATCTGTTTCTGATTTTCTTTTGAAATCTTATTAGAGTCACATCTTGAATTAATTAGAGTAGCAACTGTTTCTGTGGAAAACATTAGTGGTATATTTATTCTTCTAAAGATTAAATTGAAGGTTACTTTGCCAAAAGAAATGATTTATTTTAAATTTGTGTTCTACAAAGGCTTTTTTATGGCATAACATTTAAAGTCAAATACATTTCATATTTATATAAATTACTTTGCTGTCATAACTTGTGTATTAAAAAATACATTGTAATTGCTTCAGATTGTTTAAGTTACACAGTTGTTAAAAAACAATATTTTTAAAAAGTTGCTGTCATAGGCTGTGCAAATTTTGTTTTTAAATTAATATGGTAATTGCATCAGACTGTTGAACTCCAGCAATTGTTTAAAATAACATCCTTAAAAACTTATTTTTAAATGCTTTCATCCTTTAAGAAAACTATACAAATATAACTAAAATGCTAATAATATATTAATTTGTAAAAAGAGCTGTGAATACTCACTAAATATTTCCTCTGGAGCACTGGCAGGGGGAGAGCACCTGCTTTTGCTGGCAGCTGAGTTGGTCTGCAAGAGAAGACAGTAGGAGTCTTGCTATTTATGCCTGAAGAGGGTCCCTTTGGTCCAACAATTATTGTAATCTTTAGACTTTCCAGGTTTGCAAAAAGCATGCCATCTTCTTGTTTGCAATCCTTTTGGATGGACTATCAGAGGCTTCCTGTCTGTCAACTGGTTCAGGCTCCTATCAGAAGACTGTGATGCCGAATAGACAAAATGCTGTAAAAAAAATACCTTGGATTCTTAGTAACAGTTCGAGTTTTCTGGTGCCTTTACAGTTCTCTGCTCTTATTAATGCCTCCAAGCTACACAAATGAACTGATTCCAACACTAAAATAGTTCTAGTGAATACACTTTAAATGAGAAGCATGTTTTCTTGTAAGTTTTATTGTCTGACAGATGCTCCTTCCAAACATTTACAGAGAGCTTGCTCACTCTCACACACCATATGTATGTGTTCAAATAAAAGGGGTGAGGCAGCTAAAAAAGTCAAGAGGAAAAAAAAGTCACATTTCATAATTGCACATACTCACACAGACTGTGTCTCCTGCAAATATGAATTAATTTAAAGTAGTACAGTATATTTTTGTGTTCTGCAGTACCGTATGCTGGATGATGAAAGGGCTCTGTAACATTGTGGTTTCTT